AGAAGAAACACCTGCTAATGTGGGTTTGAGGGTGCTACAGTCACAAGCAAAGTAGATTGTCTCAGATGTGTTGCCTCTCCATCACTCCATAACACTGACACAGCCCAGTCACAAAGGTGTGTACATAAGAGGTTGAATAATGCATGTTGAATAATGCAGTCTCCTGAGCATTTATTTCACTCCTTGCATTTGTCCTTCAGGCATTTCCCACTCTGTCATGATATTGACTTGAAAATTTCCTAATACAGAAGGCAGAACTCGTAGACAAGGAAAAATTTCAAAATTATTACTCTTTTTGAAGTCATACATCTCATATTTCTGTGGAGGATTTACCAAATTTTAGCATCACAGTCTTTGGAAAAAGACTGTGTATATGTATTATGAGAATTCCTATTTTGAGGCACCCCTTAACCCACGGGATGTAATTATCATTCTGTAACATTTCAGATGAGAAGCTGCATTTGACCAAACTGTACCACTCACAAACAAAGGCCACTTTCTATTAATTAAAAGCAGCTGAAGACCAGTTTATGAGAAAATAAAAAATTCAGACATATTCTCATGTCACACAATCATGTTTATACCTTGTCTTATCTTAATGTGAACTCACAAACGTTCATGTGAACAGGCTTGCTCTTCAACATAAAAATCTATATACTGCACTGGGAAAATGTCCCCCACATACATTGCCTAATTTAAATTAATTCGTGTCTTTGGTAATGATCTGAAGAAGCTGCTCTACTCTCTTTTCCGTTTAGTGGTAGAGATAGAGTGGAACAAAGATAAAGTACTGCCTTAGAAAAGTAGCTCAAGAAAGGCTACGATTAATGAACAGAAAAACACAAATATGGTCACCTGCTTTTTAAGAATGAACAATCACAAGCTCTTTAGGGCAGCAAAACCCCATGATACTATTGTTAAAACAGTTCTGCTTTAAGTAGACAAGATAGCACCTTAGATCATCTTTTAAATGAGAAGCAAGTAAGTCATCAAAAGAGAAGTAGGCAAAAACCTGACTTTCACCATGCTTGATGCTCTGAAGGTTCCTCAGGCAGGAAAGGCTAAATAAAGCTGCCCTGAATTCAGAATTTGCTGCCCTTGCCAAACCAGAGCAAGTCTTACTATATTACACAGTAATAGCTACTTGAGGCCTCTTCAGTTTCAGCCATGCAAAAGCAGGGGAGACAGCAGGTCACTCCCCAGTGCCTCCTTGCAAAAGGATAATGCAGTAGGCATGATACTACCAAAAGAAGTAGGTGTGGCATTCTTTGACTGGAAAGACAAGAAGGGAAACAACTATGCAGAAATGAGTTTCAAAAGGATAACAAAAGACAATTTTTCTGGCACCTCCCTGAGAACCTAATAAATAAAAGTAAAAAGGCTGAACGCCTCAGCTTCTATTTATTTGCTGTAACAAATCAGGCACCAGTGATGGTAGGAGACTCACCCTGTAGGTTAAGCTCTGCTCTGTTCTTTTTGTAGCCTTTCCAAAGCAATCCAGGGTTGCAGTCCTACTCTAAACACCAGCAGCTCCCCATGGAGCAGGAGCGATGCTTTAGGAGTGCAGAATCAGCAAAAGGGCAGCCCTGCCATTTCCCTCCATGTTCCTCCTCTTTGCTGATACTATGACAGGAGAAGGAGGTGCCTCTAGAGAAATGCACACGTTCTCAGTATTAGTACATTTATATTTAACTCTGTAACAGACACACAAAGCTACTCTAACTTGGCATAATGTGACTTTTTTACAATGAAGGCAGCAGCAATTAACCTGACATGCGTAAATCCCCCAAATCCTGTTTATTTCTTACTTAAGTAAATGAACCATCCATCCAAGGAGAAGCTGCTTTGCTCTAGACACCTTTATCTCATCTTTGCCCTTTTAATGTCCTATGAAAAATAAGTAGTTGTGGTAGGTCTGATTTGATATAAGAATTAGCTCTTGAGCAACATGGTGAGTTGTGAGGTGGTTGTCTCCTGCAAGAATGGGCTGTTTTACTTTTATTTTCTCCGACTCTTGTTTCTGGAGGAACTGCAATAGGAGAATGACACCAGTTTGTCACCAAACTCCGAACTCCATACTCACCTCCTTCGGCTGTGCTCTTTTAAATTCCTACAATCTCTTTGTGAAATGGCAAAGTCCTGAAGATCTGTATGTTGCTCAGTTTTTCCATGATTCAGCAAAATGAAGCTCTTCGTATTTCACATTTATAATTGATCTGAACACACACTTGCTAGGGAGAATTTGGGCAAAGCATGAACTGTGGTCCAGGGTGGTCAGCATTTATCTGCTGTTTTTAGTTATCAAGCATAAGACAACATAATCAAGCCTATTGATTGACTAGTCAGGTATTTATTTGTTGTTTTAACATGCAAAACCAATATAACAGTTAAGGAAGTTAGAGAAAATATAGCACTGAAAAAATTGTTCATTCAGAATGAGAATTGTGCTTGAACTATCCTCCACAATCATCAGTTAGTTAATTTGTCCCAATATTTATAGTTCATCATTACAACTGCCAAAACTGGCAACCACCAGGATTGTTGTCTCAATTAAGGACAGTAAACAGATTGTCCCATTTTTTTTAATGAAAAAATCTAAAATGTAATACTTCACAGTTTAACATGTTTATTCATTTAAACGAGCTAAAAAATAGTGGTGTGACATCTGCTTGAGAGACACTGGTACCTAACATTTTGGCTGTCTCCCCACCAATTTGATTGTGATTAAGGGGGAATAAAAGGATGAGTAGAGGATTCTGTCAATTAAATGAATTGATGAACTACAACCAAAATATTTTTTTCACTCTTGGGAAAGTGTAGAAATACACCTACAAAAATGTGTTACATAAAACTAAGAGGATGATGGGGAAAAGTACTGCAAAATATCTCCATCGGCTCTTTCAGGGAAAAATATTGTAAGACAATCTTTGCCAGTTTATTCATCTCATGGCTTCATTTCCCAAAGTACAGGCATAATCCACTGTAAAATCTTTTAAGAAGCAGTTCCAACATCACATTTCTGGTGTCTTACTGATGTGCCATATTGTTACTTAGTCATAAGCACCACTAATTATTACGCTACTGTAAGTAAAACTTGAAATGCAATCAAGATCTGTAGTATCCTGTTTGCTGGCACCCTAACTTGCCTATTATGCATTTCAAGTACAGTCCTTTACAGAGAACGGTCCTAAATGCATTTGGCCTTCACCAACTGGCTCAGTTGTGCCTTACAGACACAATCCCACGTTACTTATCACTCTACTGGGAGCTGCTAGCAACATTTTCCTTCTTGAAAGGGCAGCATTCAAAACCTGGCCCTAACTCAGCAGATAAGCCTCTTCCTTGGTAGCAATTTTCATGGAAATGGTATGAGCAGTTTTGTAGGGCTTTCACTTTGTTTTTCTTTAGGACAGTTTAGTAGCATTGTCTAATTTTAGGTCAACTACTCCAGAGGACACCTAAGCAAACAGATGAGTCTGCTCATGCTGTGGCTATCTGCAGTTACATGTTCTGGCATAATCTCACAGTCTACAGTGTTGTCCCTGCTACAGCTGGTTGATGCATGGATGGAGCTATGACTGATCCTGAATCACATGATGTCTATATGATATGCAACAGTGAACTTTAACTTAAGCATTCTTCAAGAAAAGTTCAAATGTATCTCTAGAGTCTACTAGGGAAATGCTTAACATGCCTCCTAAGTTTCCAGTAAAATATATTTAGAGACACTAGGTAGTAGAGCTAGAGCCTTTCCTTGGCAATGTTCACTAGAAGCACCAGTAAAACTACTATACTGAGGTTTCTTCACTGAGATGGTCTACATGCTGCTTCTGCTTTTGTAGGATCAAAGAGAAAAGGAAAACCACCAAGGAAAGATTAACTGAGCAAAATCACTGCTGGAAGACTATTGTGCCTTCCTAGCCAGAGATTCTTCCAGACACGACATCTGCTCCCACCAACAGCACAAGGACTCAGTATAGGCATCTCCTCCACAACCTCTGCTGGAAAGAAATTCAGTTTACTCCACAAGCAGAGGACAACAACACTACTGATGTCTACCCTTCCCCTAGAGGTGAATATCCTTGAGAAAACCTGCCCCATTAAGCCAAGTTTGCCATGTAAAGAATTTGATCAGCAATCCTTCTCTGAAACAAGTGTATAAAAGTATTACTTTTATAATAAAGTCAATTTGTCCGAAGGGATAGAACTACACGGATAAACCATGCCTGGAGAAAGAGCCTTGCTCTATTGGTATTGGATAGCGTGCCAAAGGAAGCTGTCTTCATTGTCTTTTAAGTATTCATAGGCCACATTTAGTTTTAATATGAGCTTAGGGGTTAGAACTGCCTAAAATAATCCAGATATTCTAAAACTGATATCACTGCTCACTTTCGAACATTGTGCTGTTTCGATTGCTTTAATGTCCTTTCAAATCTATATATATAATTCAGTGTGTTCAACATTAATAAGAGAACCAAAATAGTAAAAAATTCTTTATTAATAAAAAAGACACTGAGCAACTCATACAAAGATAGATGACCCAAACCCCAAGAGGCATGTTTCAATCTCAGATACAATTAAGAGCAAATTAAACCACATGTCCCAGTAGAAATTATTATACTGATAAGAAAAAAAAGTGTATTTGCTGCAATATTTACCACGTATTTCTACATACACTGAATAGAAGTCTATCCAGTTTACCTAAGCAAAAAGACATGTTCCTGTTACATGAGGACATCCTTCCAGTACATGAAGGGAGCCTACAAGAAAGATGGAGAGGGACTTTTTACAAGAGCATGTAGTGACAGTACAAGAGTGAATCGATTCAAACAAAAAGAGAGGAGGTTTAGATTAGACATTAGGAAAAAGTTCTTTATTCTGAGGGTGGTGAGACACTGGAACAGCTTGCCCAGGGAAGTTGTGAATGCCCCACCCCTGGAAATGTTCAAGGACAGGTTGGATGGGGCATTGAGCAACCTGGTCTAGTGAAAGGTGTCCCTGGTCATGGCAGTGGGGTTGGAACTAGATGAACTTTAAGGTCCCTTCCAAGCCAAACCATTCTATGATTCGATGATCCATTCTACAAGTTTATGATCTTTCACGTAAATGAAAATGCCTAATATCTAAACAAAGCAAACACACTGCAAACTATGGCACTTGTGGGCAATACAGACTTATGAGCCGCACATCAGGGAACTTGCTAGAATTACAATATATATATGCATTAGTTTTTGTCTGATTCATAATTATGGGAAAGGTAACCTTCCTGTTCTAGGAACTTCATGTTAATAAATTTGACAGTAAGAATTGCTTGCTTGTTATAACCAATTCAGAGAGCAGGTTACAAGACAACCTGTGTGAAGGGAGTAACTACACATCTTTCTCAGGCCATGCATCACCCAGAGAGCTCTATGCAGACATTAAGAAAGCAATCCTTCCAGTATCTTATAGAACAAGAAAATTGCTAATGCAAAGTAACAGGAAAGGTGTGCAGCTTCTGTGACATGTGGTGGGACACTGGTGAAGCAAAAGGCATGTCACATCCAAGCAGACAGCTTGTGATACACTTTTCCCTCCACTGAAAATTAGGCCATGTGTCAGATAATGTTTCACCATAAATTCAACATGTTGCTACGTGTGTGGTCATGTGTGCAAGTAGCATCAGACTATAAGTCACATGCATGCATACATGTTAGAATTTTGTGTCTGTAAGAGTCATAATTAGAAAAAGAGAAATATTTGCACATACATGTTTCTCTTCTGTGTTCTTCTCGGAAGACTGTTGTACTCTTAATTTTTAGAGGAGTTGTTTTGCATTGCATAAAGTGAGTAAGGAGTATGACAGATAAGAAGTGAATCCTTAGAGACTCATAATGTATATGCTCACAGTTACTGTATGGTTTAAAAATTAACTGTACTGATCTAAGTTTCTTAAGTGGTGATAATGGGACTGTGTCAATTTAAAAGAAATATATTTTCCATTATAATATTTGCTGTGATTTGTATCCCTTTGTCTTCAAAATCACTACAAGAAATCTTAGGCATCTCGGGAACAAGACAGTAAATATCTCAGTTGCAATTAAACCTAACATTCAGCCCTGAAATTTGTATCAAAGGTAAAGTGAAGCTAGTTCACTAATAAAACTTAAAAATTATGAAAACTTTTCAGGAAGTCAGTCTGCCTAACTTCCTTGCCACATTCAGTACCAATGGCTCTACGCTTTTCTTGATATCAAACTGAATCTGAACCAGACAAAGACTGACCACACGTTTAAAGGATTCAAAGCTGAACCTTTATATCCACAAGTTTCGTTATATGCCAAACTCGAAGCAGAACAGGATAAAGCCAGAATTCTAAAGCTCCTTGCAGCTGCTCTGACATACCAACTCCTTCAAGCGACCTGTGGCTATCAAAGGGATCAGAAATGTTATCTACAGTGCATAATTTGAAAGGTACTTTGCAAGAACTGAAACATGTCATGGAGCCAAGATTTACCCAATTATTAGTACACCTGGAAAAAAAAGTGCTTTCTTATTACTTACAACTTCTTACATTAGTTTGATGATTAAAATGATTGTATAGCTGGAAAGGAGCGTTTTTTTACAACATTCCCCTAACGGGTAGAGCAAGTTGATACCACAACCATCAGGAAGAGTATAATTAAAATACAATTTTGACTTTATATTAATAATAGACTAATATACTAATTAAAACCAACATCAACTGAACTTTCTATTTACACTAGTTCAGACAGCACAGCAGCAAAGAACTGTGTTTCAGAAGCATATGCGAATGTTAGAGCTTCTGTCATCCAGGTGCCATTTCTAACAGAACACATGTGTGCTGAACAGTTGGCAAAAGAATGAAAAAGATTACTGCAGATATATGAGCACACAGAATCTGGGATGACATAAAATTAAGTCCATATAGAAGGTGACAGACTGCTTCTAAAAGGATTTTTTTCTCCTACAATTTCTTCCATCTTCATGTGCGCGCGTGTGCACACATGCCCAAGAAAGATTAAAAGGGAGAGGGAGGATGAGGGTGTTTTGATATATTTTAAATAAAAGACTTTTTATTTGGTATTTCTGCTTTCTTTTGGAAAAGGAAACTAATTTGGTTATTAGGAAGCTTTGATTCCTAAGTTTGGTCAAGGCAGACACTCCTGTGAAGTCAGCATGAATATCCATGATAATAATAGTACCTGTCTTTTGACATCAAAGTTCTCTGCCTGAGACAAAAATAATGTAAACAATAAATTTCATGTATTGTACTGTTGCTCCTGGCCTTGGTGTTAATCAAATACACTTGGCCAGGCATAAGTGTTCTTATTTTGGAGATCTAGAATGTAGAGGTGACTGACGTATTGCAAAACTTTCTTATGAATTTGGACTGCAAGAAATGGCATCATTTACGGTCTCACACTGAAGGGACTGTGTGTTCCTATGCAGTCTTGTTGAAGCAGAAGAAATCTTGATGATAGATTCATTGCATCTGCTAGTTTTCATCTGGATCCAGATCAAGGTCAACTTCATTGGAAATGTTAAGATAAAAGAAAGCATAGAAAGCCAACAAAAATACCAGTATAGCTGCAAGGACAAGGGCAACTTCCTGTAGAAATAAAAGAAAAACAAAATGTGTTAGAAATAACATCATATTTTCAGAGTAATCAGGAATAAATATTATTTCCCTTCTATAAAACACATCAAAATAATATCAGACATATATAACTGCATAAGGCATTGATGCTTTAATGATTTCTTTTTTGTGATTATCATTTCAAATATTAAAAAATCCACTCACTTAATAAAGATTTTGGTGAGTCTGATATACTGCCAGAAGGAGGATATTTGGCTTAAAAATCTTTAGTCTGACCTGGAAATAGGAGCTTTATATCCTTTTATTATGCTATTCCTTCTTTTTTAAAAGACAGAATTCACAAACCACAGTTTTGAACACAAATTTAAGTTATGAATTTACACTGTGAATTTTGATGTTTTCTAGCAATATGTTACTGCTTTTTGCCAACAAATTTGTAATTTTTTAATGAAGCAAACACAGTATGGTGGAAGTCAATGAAAATTGCTACCTCTACCTCCCAACCTCCTGGCATGCATTACAATATGGAGCTACAAAATCCTTCAGAATTGGAACTTTTCTTCCTTCTTCTCTGCAATAAGGCAAAAAGCACAACAATTTGCACTTGCACTTGCCTCTCTTCCCATAAAATATTGCAACTTGCTGCATCTTTCTTAATTAACATAAAAGAGTCTTCCAAAGTATACATGATTTATAGCAGCTTTCAGAAGCAGAAAAATGTTTTTGTACTACACGTCATACTCATTATGTGACTGCCTATCATCTTTAAGGCTGGACTCTGTTAAGCTCCGACTTTAGATCTCATAATTAATGATCATCTCCTTTATAACAATACTTCTTTCAAAGTCACACTATTTCACATTTTTAAGATTTATTTTTCTGTAAGGTACAGCACACTTTACACTAGTTCAGATTTTCCTTATCATCATGATGTATTTTTAAAATCATGCACTGAGATTCTCCAAAGGAACATGTTAGTTTGTACCTCCAAACCCCATTTTCCCTTTACAGAAAGAAGGAACAACCTCCGCTCCAAATCTCTGCTTCATGTTAAGGTATAAAACAACTACATCAGAACAATCCTGCTCTACACTTTAAAGGAGAGAAAAAAGACAGTTCAGTGACTTTATAACAACTAATCTAAATTGGTACTGAAGACGCCACATGAAACCTACTCTGCACCAGTGGGACTGAAAGGAGATGCCTACACCTCACTCAGACAATAAGACACTGTCTACCATGCAAGGACAGAATCTGACCCTCTGGTGTAAGATTCACTGTGTCCTCTAGGAGAAGCCAGGTGAATTCTTCCCAAAAATGCCCATTTCTTCCCTTAGACCAGAAAGAGAGTGTAGATAGTACCTCTAGTGTGCACTGTAGGATGAATCCTATCCACTATCTCTACATGTTGGCGGTGGCTTTGTGATCAGCTTTGTTTGTCCACTGCTATGAAGGAGTTAAAACTGTGCATTTCATTTTTTAAAGTCTAGCCCATAATCTGGCATTCTTCTATAGAACAGCATTTCATTTGCATTTACATGAATGCATTTATATAGTTTATCAGAATGTTGGATCAATAATTCAACATATGCCACCTAATAAATTTTGAAATACTACTGCCTAGTTGGCGTATGTTCTATAGGAGCATATTTTTTGTTCTATAGAAACCTTTGCTTTACATTTTATACGGATGATTAATTGAGATGTACTTTAAATTTATTTTACCTCATTAAAATTGCTTCTGGAAATTTGCTGAGGCTGTTGGCTACAGATTTCAACTACATTTTCCTATTAGAATTGTATCATCCTCTGAACTTCATCCTCCTGATTTCATATGATTTGATTAAAAAAAAAAAAAGAGAAAGTACATCTAATTCACTAATATATTAAAGGAAAGTGATTTTTGCTTTGTTGCAGTTGCAACACGTCAGTATCTCACAAAAGGGCATGGCAGCATCAGACAGGTTTCATTTATTTCCTTGTATCCACAGCTGTGCTCCCAGACCCATCTGGCCACACAGCTACTAATCTTAAGAGGATGTAATAAACAAGTGACATACAACTGCAAGCTCCATCTGCTCGGGAGAGTGGACAACAAAACCGCACAATGCAGGCACCGTTCACACTTGACACAGAGAGCAAATTCATTCCAGTATTAAAAAGTTTTTTCCCTTGTTTGGATGCCACGCTTGCCACGCTTACTGCTTTACAATAGGTTCACCTTTCCCCTCCCTTCTCCTCAGTCTCCCTTATGAAATGCTGTGGTAGCAGCAGCAAGATTTTGAGGAATCTCGGCATTAAAGATTTGTTTCAAAGGAAGTGAAATCGGGAAAATCATGAGTTTTATTCTCAGGCTGCCCAGTAACTGCTTGATGGGAGCAGTTCTTTAATTCCTCTGCCTAAGTTTTACAATTAATAACACTGTGATAACAATACTACTTTCCTTACACAGCCATTAGGAACTGGGTGGTTGGATCAGTACTTATTATCCCTGGGAATGAAAAGCTTTATTGAAACTCCAGGTTTCAGAATTATGCAAGAACGTTAATTTTGAGTTACTGAAAAAGGTAGAGTAACAAAAATCTCAAATAAATGGCCTAACAAAGTATACCTGGCTCTCAGCTAGAGACACATAGTCTCTTAGGAATTGCATCCAGTTTATGAACTTTTATAAACATAAATTTTGCAAGGTAAATAGCAAATGCGAGGCTACACTACTATACTGTACTTGCAACAACAGTATATCTTGTCATTTTAATTTGTTTTATACTTATCAGACTTTGCTATTTGTATTTTAAGTCATGCATAGAAATGAAATGTTAAAATACTCCCCACTTGGCATATATAGCTCCCTTTCTCTTGTACTTTATGGATCATCCCCATCATCCCTCTGCAAAATCCATTTACTCAGAGGATTTCATCATGAATAATTAAAGAATATAGAAGAAGTCCTATAGAAATAAACTTAAAATGATCATGCGGCTTTTTCTCCTTTTTTTTTCTTTTATATCATGGTACAAACCACTAGGAAACAACATCTCTGCTCTCAAATCCCAAAATATGATCAAAGAAGCCTTTAAAAAGGAACAGAATTTTCTATTATATTCTCTTAGAATAATGTCTGAAGAACCCTACTGATTTCAGCTTGATTAAGTTTTTCAGAAACTTTTCATACAGGAAACACATGCTATTACAGAATAATGTAGATTTAATTCTCCTTTCATTTTTTGTCAGTTTTATGTCTCTCACGCCAAAATACTTGGATAATGTCCTCAAACTCACCCTAATGGAACAAGTGGCAGAGTTGGGATCTAAACAAGATTAATCAGGAGATGGGGTGAGGAAAAAATGTTGGCTACAATAATATCCATGGTTACATATATATGGTTACAGCATATAACTATATACAAATCCGGACACCATGGCAGCATCATACCCTGCACATATAGAGAAATATCATACTTTCAGGAAATTTTAGGGTGTTTTTACATATTTCTTCTTGTCCTCCCGAGAGAATCATACCTTTTTTACCTGAAAGCAGCTTAAAACTAGGTGAAAGAGTACTACAACTTGCTCTATTTGAAATGCTAAACTATCCTTGTCTCTTTCTGAAAAGGAATGAAAAAAAAACACAAACATGCTGACCGAGGATACCTGTAGAAATAAAACAAACATATATGGAGTTGACAATCAATCTTTTTATCTCATAATTTTTAACTGAAGACTTTATCTGGACACTCACTGTGACCATTTTTTAGAGTTTCAACACAATCATATTTAAATATGGATGCTTACTTCCTTAATGCAGGACATTCTACAGCTAACAGAAGGTCACAAAAATAATTTATTAACTTTTAACTGCACTTCTTATGCAAGAATTTTTTACCATAAAAATTTGAGACAGAACAAAGATCGTTATTGTCTCAAATAATGAGAACGAGGTACTCTTACAGAGTCATCATTCACCCACAAAGCAACAGGATTTGTTTTAATATAGCTAAATGCAAAATAATATACACAGGTATCAAAGATGTAGATAGTGCTTACAAAGTGGAGTACTCTGCCTTAAAAAACTATGACTCTTAAAAAGGTCTTTGGAACTCAGATGTAACTACTCCATCAGTGTGATCTCTAGATGTACAAAGGCAGAGGGATTTCCAGTAGGGAGATGATTGGTATTTATTTTATCATAGAGAAGAATGAGAGGCAGTTTGGTTACAGCATATAACTATATACACCTGTATTTAAGTAAGGCCCTTCATAGAGTGAGGTCCTTTTATCCTGTTTACAAGAACCTCTCAAGGTCCATCTGCAGTTAGATAAGCTCAGTTTTGAAATAATATACCATTTCCTAGAGGCAAGAATGATTGAACATTCCAGTTACCTCTTGGGGAAAATATGGCCTTCCATAGCTATGAGTCTTTTATCATCAGATCTCCCTCAAAAAAGTACATTTTTATTTAGCAATTGGAAAGAATACTTCAACTTGGGCTTGTGTGAAAAGTAGGTCCTGACCGCCAACCTTGGAGTTGGTGAACACAGCCCTCCCAGCTGCTCCTCTCTTTCAGGACCCTGGGAAGACTGGGATTACTTACATGGTCAGTGCTATATTCTGAACCCCTGAAGTATCAGGTTTTTAAAAGTTATGACACCTCCTGCTTAGCTACCCAGACTTTTCCATTTGAAGTGTTACATAGACTAGTCAAAAGTAGAGACATAAGTAGGCCTGAGAAAGATGGACTACTGCTTCTGGAGGGTACAGAAAATCCTCCTGAGCTCTTGCTTGGTATATCTTCTTCTCATGCTCAAACCACTGTGATTACTGCATTTATAGGTCAGGCCAGGGTCTGATTTTGTTCTGTTTTTACGTGTTGCTTCCTCTCCCTTTCATTTCCAGGTCAGGAATCAAAGCCTGACTATCAGGATCACTGGGAATACCACACTATATTCATGGGTGGCACATTAAGATGCTCTACACTTTGTGAGGCACATAAGCTGGTTTGAAGACCCAGTATTTTGGCCATTACAAAGTGCTTGGACTTGTAGAAAGTATTTGGATGAATTTTTATGATCTGTAACATACAGAAGTTCAGATCAAATGATCTAATAGTCTCTTGTGGCCTTAATTTTTGCAAATTTATGAAACTGTATCCTGAGAAATGTAGTTCACTAACTTAGCAGATTATGAACAGCATGAAATCAGAGAATATCCTTTGCCAAAATACACTAGGAATGTCTTGTTATCTGTTCATATATAACTTGTTCCAGATGAGAGAAACTCTTCATGGCGAGGTAGCTAAACAATAGATTAAGTACATATGCAAAAGAATGACAGACAGTAAGTTCTCACTTTGTTTAGGAAACAGTTTTTCCTTAGCTTAATCAACGTACTGCATTGCTAATAATTCTCTATGGAGTGGTATTCTTCAGTCAATCATGTCTTTGCAAGTACTTTGCAAATACTACTATTCAGATTTGTGTCTACCTTTCAACAAGACAGAAAACTTCATCATCTGTCCCACAGACCACTGACCTGTTCTTGCAGCCTGCAAAAAAAATCTCTTCCCAAGAAGTCCTATTACTATTGGCCTCTGCATACCAAACTTGAGCTATGTGGGGGCCAAGCTTCCATATTCCTCAAACCATTTTCTGCTTGTCACCCTCCTGCTGGCAGCTCTTTCTCATCCACTGAGAGCAGAGTTAGCACCCATGGTACGAAGCCCTTCCTGCTCTGTCTGGTAAGGATGAGCAGCTGGGTTCCCACCAGCACAAGCCCCTCATGGGGGAACACAGAGAAAGTTCAGAGGCTCCCTTTTTGGTACTTCTACAAAGAATTTTGTCTTATCCAAACACATACAGTATACTGCATTCTCTTGGAGTTGTTTCTCAAGACAGGGGTCCTACTTTTCCAAGAGACACAATATATTTTGGCACTGTCTACGTTAGTGTCACATATACAAACAGAGCCAGTACAACAGTTCTGCTACAATATTTAATCTGTAAACATGTTTAAAGAGTAAATATTACACACTAAGTACTAGCATGGTCACCCTGCTCGAACTAACTTTTGATAAGTTATTACTGCTCAGCTGCTTCTCTGACATTATCAACACAGATAAAATCTCTCATTGGGGAAATTAAAAAGTACTAAATGCCAGTGACTGAAAGAAACTTTGTTACTTCAAACCTTACATTAAAATGACAAGGCAATCAAAGTTTGACAAGAAAAGCTAATTAGTATGCCAGCGATGAAATGTAAAGGATCTCCAGGGGATTGGTTCTGAAAAGTTTTATGTCATTTATGGGGCCTTTTTTTAGCTAATGTTGTCAGCTCTCATAGTGAAAAACACAACAGTTGAATTTCATTATTTTCATAGAAATTAAGGACTAAAATACCTTCACTATTTTCTAGGCGTCTTTTTTTTCCCCCTAAATACTACAGCATGTTTTAGTTTACAACCAGGCATATAAGTTCTTCAGGACACTACAACAAAAATACTCTAGAGTTATCAATGACACTAAAAATCCTACAGTTTTAAGTGGCTGTATGGTGCTTATTGCGTTAGGTATTTATTTGGACATTTCTATTTAAAGTGTCTACTTATTATACTACACTGTAGTTACATCTCTCTTTTTTCCCCTCAACACAGATTGAAGTTAAACAACTGTCACAGCACAGAATTGGGGTTCACATAATAAAAAAAAGACTAAAATCCCAGCCTGTGGAAGGTGAATCATGTTGCTTATCACCATCACTCATCACCAGGCACAAGGAGGAGACCTTAAAGACAGAGGAGTGGAAATGGGTTTCTCCTCAGGGTGGCAGGGAAATCCCCTCCTGACCTACCTCACCTCTCCAGGTGCCCTTCAGCAACAGGTATAAGGCCTTGGAATCTGAAGACCAGGGAAATGAGAATGTCAATGAAAGTCCATTCAATTTGGAAGGATCACCTAGGGCAGGGCAACCTACCCCCAACATCACAAGCTCCCCAATTAAGAAAAAAAGAAGGATGGTAATCATTGGTGATTCCCTTCTGAGAGGAACGGAGGGCATAACATGCCAACTGTACCCAAACTATACGGAGGTGTGTTGCTTCCATGAGGCGTAGGTAAGGGATATCACCAAGAAACTTCCCAGCTTGGTATGGCCCACTGACTATTGCTTGGGCTTTTCCAGGTGAGTACTGATGAAGTCCCAACGAGACTACAGAAAATCAAGAGGGACCTCAGGGCCGTGGGCAACTGGTCAAGAGATATGGAACACAAGTTGTGTTCTCTTCTGTCCTGCCAGATGCAGGGAATGATGGGGCAAAACTCAAGAAAATCATGCAGGTAAATACCTGGCTTTGAGACTGGTGTTACCAGTAGAATTTTGGGGGTTTTGATTGTGGGTTTGTTTATATGACACTGAGCCTACCGGCAACAAACAGGGTCCACCTGTCTCAAAGGGGAAAAAAGGATCTTAGCTCAGGAGTTAGTAGGGCTCGTTCAGGAGGATTTATACAAAATTTGAAGGGGGATGGGGACATCAGCAGGCTTGACAGAGATGCTATGCAGTCCTTCAGGAGGACCTTGGGAGGTTGGAGAGATGGACAGAGAAGAATCATCTAGTACCATTCAACAAAAGCAAATGCGGAGTCCTGCACCCCATAAACACAACATCCTACGACCTGGACAGCATGTGTGCACCTTGATGGCAAAACTCAATCTTACCTGAAAGTTAGCTGGTATTCTGCAATAACATGTAGAAACACTATTCTACAAAATAAACTGCTCTTGATATCTTTACTCACTAATTCTTGATTACATATATTATTACATACATGCTTTCCTATTCTGTCTCATTTTTAAGGAAGAATTACTTCAGAAAATAAGGAAGCAAAACATGTTTTGAAAGATCAAGGTTCATATTCTTCTCACTTGTGAAAGACACATGAAAAAACTTGTACATTTTACAAGAACTAGGCTGTACACTAAGTCTCCAAGTAGAACACCACTTTTAAAAGGTCACATCATTGAAAATAAAATGAAAAGTAAAATTTAATAAGAAAGGAAGGAAACGGAACTCAAAAGGTTAATAATCTATCTTTTAAACAAAAAAGGCAATCTACTTTTTCTCATTAAAACCTGACACACAGCACTAACTGAGGAGATTATGTTGTGAAAACATACTGCATCGCATGGTAATGCTTGATCGAGACCAGCAATCAGGAGCAAAAAGAAAGCACTGTTTCGTGATTATAATAGCAAATTCTGGAAGACAACCAAATACATCATCTGGTAGCTCAACAGCTGTTACAGCTTGGTAGTAATACCTTGGCATTTGCTATAAGCTATAACTTGAAAAAATTGATTTCTCATCTGCCAGAAACAAGAAAATGTTCTCCTTTTAACATTTCTGAAGTTTCTTTCACTAGAATACTGAGTTAATTGATCCATTTTTTTTATTTTGCTCAGGTTTTACCCTTGCTGCTAAGCTAATTGTGTATCAATTAGATTAAAAAAAATAAGTTTGAAGGAAAAATACTGAAGGCAACATAAATAAACAATGTATGTTCAGATAAATCCCATTTTGATGACACACTGGCTAGTAAACAGCAGAAAATATTTCTAATTGTCCTCCTTGGTCATACTCACAGCCATGATCAGTCACTCATTATTATACTTCCTATCTCCCTGAAAAAGGGATATTTTCAAAATAAGGTTTAGTACCTTTCCACATGTTTTGCAGTTAGTTAAGCCTTCTTTTTCCAAGTCAGAGGCAGTACACAAAGATGCAGGACTGAGACAATAATGTTGAGAATTGATAATACCTAACAAACCCAGTTTTAAAATTACTACTAGGTACGGGATATGAAAAGAAAGAAGGAAGATGCTTATTGCAATTTGTCTAACTATATGAAATTGTTAAATAACTTGGCCTGTGTTTAGATGGGCTCCCAAAAAGGATCAATTTTCTAAGCACACAATACTTTATTTACCTTAAAGTATGCATCATAACAAGGACACGGACTACTTAAAATCTTTCAGCATTTCAACTATCCAATTTATTTTAGGGTTAAGTAAAAGCAATTCATCATAAATATTTTAGATTCTAGCATTTTACTTAGTTTTTGAAGTGTCATAAACAATATCTCTCAGAAATCAATATTCGCACAGTACATCTATGGGGAAAAGAAAAAACATATACACAAAGGTGGTTTAAGCTATCAAAGAGATCTCTACCTTTACGCCTAGTGCAGTTTTCTTGGCCTCTGCTTTTAATCTTGTGGCTCTTAACATAGGCCTGGTTTTCTTATAATCTTGTTTTCCTAGAGTAGAAAAGCATATTTAATGAAAATAATGCAAAAAAAAAACAAAGAATGTGAGCATTTATTTCAGTTAAAAAGTCAGATACAACATTTTGAAAACATCCTACAGTCCATCACTTTAAAAAGAAGCTACGTTGTAACACAGGGACTTGATCCATAGAACAATGATCCTTAAAACAGACAATGATAGCAACAAGCAAGAGCCAACAAATCAGCATATTACTCCAGAGTGACATCAAAATACATATATGGATAGATACCCACTACTACAATATTTATTAACTTGTTCAGTAAGAATCAGACAGCAAAGAAGTAGATTAAAGGTGCATGATGTTTTTCCCTCTGATTTAAACCAAAACAAAAATTTTCATTAGAATTTTTGTCGGTTAGTCATCTCTAATGCATACATAAATCTGCAATACAGGCCATTCTCGTGAATGTAAATGTTTCATTATTCTGAACTGGAACATTATTTGCAGGTATCAGAACTCACAGATATGCAGGTCAGTCCAAGTAAGTGTAGACCATTGCCCGACATCATCTGCTTGTAGAAACATGTTATACAGAAACTTCTAGATGTACTTTTTAGAAGTTAGAGGGACTATCTCTTGCAGCCACAGAGTGCAGCCAAGTGCTTGATTACCATGAGTCTGTATGAACTGAGTTTAGAGGAGGTCATGCAAGTATTTAGAAATGGTATAAATCATTTATCTCAACTTAATAATGAAGCATAAAACACTTGATAACTGTCAGGGATATTTCTGCTGTTTGAAAGGACTGTTACTATGTAGCTTCTGTAAAGAACTGTAGCTTCTTTAACAGAAGCCAAGGTACAGATACAGTCAGAAAAGGAGGAGAAGGAAAAGAGGAATCAGTGAAGAAACTGCTCAGAGGGGTAGAGCTTCGGTACAACCACTCTGGCTTTTCAAAAGAGTCCTTTCCGGTTTTTGCCTCCTAATGCATACATGCCTTTTTGTCCTTTTTGCCTATTTCCAAAGCTGGGCTACAATGCTTAAAGCAGAATGTCTTCCCACTTTTAAATCACTAATTTTACCTATCTGTACATTAGCTTTCATTACTGTTACAGTCAAATAACCTTTCCTCTAAAACTGTGTCCTATTTGCCTAATGAGATGTGATCTTACATTCATAACCAATAATGCAATCTTATTTTATGGTTATCTTCAAAGCTGGGGTTTTATAGAGCAGTGATGAAATTCTGAAACATGAATTGGAAAGGAAAGGTCTTCTCCAGTGATATACTGGATTCATAGAAACAGACTTCTGCCTTTGTCTACTCCTCCTATCACTCTGCTTATACTCAATACAGAGATCCTCTCTGTAGGATACTGTGGATGCTGAACTTGCATTACAAATTTGCTTTCATTGTATAATCTCTCCTCAACCCTAGGGATTATATATGGTGAAGGTCTCCGTATTATCCTTTGGCCAGGTATTATTAATAAAAGACTTAAAATAACTTAAAAATACTCAATGACAAAAGGAAAAATAACTGAAACCATGTGTATTAGGAAAAAAAAATGCAGAATATCTCCAAGGAACTTTCTTAGAGGACATAGTGAAGAAAAGATGACAGAATGATGATTTATGTCTGATGCTCCAACATATTCATCCAGTCAATGCACCTCATTAGCAGGACAGGACAGCATTATTCTTCAGAATATATATGATATCTGATAATAGGATGCATAAGAAGTACAGTACATTTTTTTGAACAGTTAGGGAAAGAATTGCAGAAACCACAATAATGGTTAAGTCATGAGATGAAGCCAGCCAGACACAGAACATGTTTCTTCTCCCTGAAGTCCTGCAGTCATGCTTCTGCTATGAAATAGTTAAAGACCTGTCAGAATTTCCATTATAAATGGCAGGAGTTTATAACTCTTAAAAATACACTCCAGGTTGAAATTTGGCATAGATATACCCAAGCCTTGAATTTTTTGTTTGTTTGTTAGGAGCCAACTTTTGTAAGTGGTGCAGCTGTTCTTACTTACTTGTGAACAAACCATAGAAATTTATCAATCTGAGATGTTTGAAGCATGAAAAATATATTCATTTAGAAGTATATAACTGACAAGCGCTAAGTTCAATCTCAGCTCTCATCATTCAGGTTTGCTCCCATCTCGGGTAAATGAACTAGGGCAGTCAGAGGTTTCCCTTCCAGTGACAATGGCATCAGATAATGAAAACTAGAAAGCTTTGTAAGGTCCATTAGCAGTGGGAAACAAGTCAGCTAGTGGAACCCACTTCCTCTTCCTACCATTGCCCATTCTCCCTCCTCTTCTCCAAGGCTCAAGTCTGAAGGTGACAAAAGCAGGGGTAAATATTTGCACAGGAGACCCAGTCTGTGAGTTACATCTATTGGCAAGACCACATCTATTCACTGAAAGGGAAAACTTATTGGTGCTCTTTCCCTTGGTTTCAGGCACCCAGCTACTGTTTATTCCAGTATCATGGCTACAACTAAAATTGGATTCTACTTATCTAGAGAATACTTCTAGATTTATACTAAGTCTGATATGACCAACCAACCCCCCTATATAACAAATAGGCTATTTTAATGCTGGTAGTTCTCCAAATCCAAGCACCTGCCATTAATTTACCACTCACACTGCTAAATGTGATAGCCAAAAGGAAAAAAAAAACCAAAACCAAACAAACTATGGTAAGGAAAACGGTCTGAGTCCACCAAATGCAAAAGTTTAAAAAGGGCATCTGTGGACTTCTTTGTAATGAAAACCAGATTCATCAACAGTACAAAAAGACTCCTAAAACATGTGAACTTTCTGAAGCCTTGGGAAAGACATCTGCACTACAGGACTATAAAGAACTATGAAATGCAAAGCCCCTACCACGTGAATACTGATCATTGCCACCTGGAAAATAAGCAGAAATAAATAATACAGGCTTCCTACAGCCTCCCCTCTTTTGGGTTTGCAAATTCAACCAGTTGGAATACTTATATTCACACTCTCAATGTTTTCTACTTTTATCTCATTTATCCTGCAAGCTTTCTTGTACTTTTATCTGTCAGAGTCATCAGCTTAAGCTATTTCTTCTTCCCTGGAAGTGATTGCCAAAGCCAGTTAAGACGGACTCATCAGACAAAGCCCCATTTGTCTGCTTTATCCAATGCCTATCTGAGACACTGAGTTTTCCTGAGGGAACATATGAAGACAAGAAGAAGCCAAAAGATAGAATTGGAAAATTTCCAGACAAAATCTTACTTTTTTTATTACTTAAGCACAGTTCTTTCCTCTTCTACTTTTCATTGTTGTTATTGTCATCACTCGAAAGCCAGCTTTCCTTTTTTTTTTACTATCTCAATTTCTTTCCTTTTTTTTTTTTTTAAATGTGCCACTTTTTTCTTTTTCCAAGTCCATCACTTCCTTTTCATTTTTAAGGCCAAAGAAATAGTCCATGATAGGGTAACTTTTCTTACTGACTACAGATATTACCACTCTGCTCATCTTGCCTCCTGCCAGGTACTCTCAAGACCAGATGCAAAGATCATCCACCTTTCCATTCAGTGTTTGAAGTACCCTTTGCCCTTTGGAGGCTCTCCAGAGCTCACCTTGCACCTCGCCCCTCCCTTCCATATTTCTTGCACAGTTTTTTCCACTCCTTTGGTGGCAAAGTGACCTCAGTAGCACTGGAACTGAGTTGTGCTCTGTTTAGAGATCCTGCTTGGAAAACTTCCCACAGGTAGAAATGAAGTCTATTCTACTAGCTGTAGAATTAGAAAAGGGTGAAGATAAGGGTGAAAACAGAGAGTTTTTAGCTACTAAACACAGCTAAAGGATGTCTCCTTCACGGCGAATATTAGGGATTCATACAATATACACCATGAGTTTGTTTGCTTCTCTTCATGTAACTAGGAATAATAATCTATGGATTTCATAAGAATTTTTTTATTTAACTCTGCTTACAAGGGAAATTGTGATCCCATATATACCTTCTATTCAATAGTTTTAATACATATTAGAGATGACCTGATCTTGTATATTGAGCATTCTTTTTTAAGTAAACCTCCAGTGGTGCAATGATAAATGCAAAACTTAAACTAAATAATATGTATGAGCTAGACAAGTTCATTAAGTTCTGGGTTAATTTTTTTTCAGTCTACAGAAATACTGTGACACTGCCAGGTAGTATGCATTACACTGTACTTTGCATATATACTGAGCTCCGTTATACATGTAACTGAGAATACAGCATGTTGAGAACAACATTTAAGAAAACTGACTACATTTAAGATTGTATTTAATGATGTTGCTGTTTAAGATACAACTTGAACAAATTTGTAGAATAACTCCACAAGAAAAAACATTATATTTCCAACCCTTCTAGATATTTCTAGAATTCTTTCATTCTAACAATAGCTCATTACTGGAATTGAATAACAGACTGAAGACTGTCTCTCTGCTTTTCAATTCATCAGGCTTAAGCAGAAACAGGACTGCTTCTTTGGCCTTTGTTGATGCTGCTGTCCAAGCTTATTATCATATGAATATCTAGTTATTGTTTTATAAATGTTCACATTTCAGGAGCTCCCTGCTTTCTTTTCTCTCAGCAGACTTCACAATATCCACCTTCATTATCATCATGTGGCAGCATTGCTCTTCGCCTGCATTTGCTACTTTAAAAATTAATGCACTGCTATTTTCTGAATACTGTACTGCATAAGCTGCTTATGAGTACATTATGCTATCAAGCAAGCACATGGAGAAAAGCTTCCTAAACTGTTATTCTTTCAGTGAAAATACAGCTGGTTCTGCTTCAAAGGCACTTCTTTTCACCTGCAAATGGACTTGCTCCTACACTTATTCCTCAATTCATTGTCTTTTATTTGTGTCTGCAAATCTGTAATTGCCTTTAATTAGAAAAAAGTAAATTCAGTGCTTTAATCTTGCAAATACATTCAATCATAATTCTGTCTGGGATGAATACCAAGTTCTATTCAATGACTGATCTTTATAA